GAAAAAAAAATTGATTGGTAACCTGGTCACAAATGATTTGGGGAAGATGCCGATTATTGACTCACTATATAAATGAATGTTGTATCCGATTATTGACTCACTATATAAACAGTTTTTCTTGTTGTATCTGGGATGAGTCTCAGTTCCTTCATACAAACCAAATGACCCTGAATGTCAGGTTAGCTGTTTCTGTTTTTGTAGGTTTGTTGTTTTTTCTGTTTGTTTTCCTGTTTTATTCTAATACGTGTCTCGGTTTCCTGTGTCTTCCCACCGTGTTTCTCAGCTTACTTCACCTTATCTCACCTGTTGTTTGTTCCACTTTCTCCTCCCGTCTATAAAAACTTCCCACTCCTTTCAGTTTTTCCGGATCCTCCCGATGTTTTTCCTCTGGTTTTATTTCCCTCGTCTTCCTCCCGGTGAGCCTTCTGTGTCTTCTCAGGTCTGTTCTTTGTTTAGTTGTTTCTAGATGTGTTTCAGTTATTGGTGTGAAACTGTGGAATAAATTAAATGATGAATTTAAGTTATGTCCTTTCTTGGTGAACTTTAAAAGAGCTTTAAAATGTAATATGATAAAATCTTACGTTCTTAAGTAGATCTATATATGTACTATGTACTATGTAATCTGAATTTGAAGAAATCCTGGTAGGTTGTAAGGTAAAAAATAGGGTAGGCAAGAATAAGCTTTGCTTCGGCCTATTCCTTTTTTGGTAAACTGTGGGTTTGTCTATTGTTATTTTCTTTTTTTTTCTTTTGTTGTTTCTTGTGTTTAATGTGGACAATTTACCAAATTTACCAAAATAAAGTGAAGTGAAGTGAAGTGAAGAAGTAGATTGTTGATAGTTTAGTTTTTATTGGGCTTTGGCTGTGCCTTTTTTTAAATAAATCCTTTGTGAATTAATTTCTAGTTTTTTGGAAGTTCCTTATTTTTCAGAAACAGCTATATGGGACTCCATCAAAACAGACCTCCTACTAGCTTTTTCAGATAACTAAGAGTATCTTTATGAGTAATTACGTGCAGTCTGAGGGACAGGAGGTCTATTTTTGGGTTGTTTTTAATCTGTAGGCCTCTTCCTGGCATGGGTTTGGTGATGTACGTGGATTTTTTTGTGCAGAACTGGTCAGAGGTCACAGCAGACATAGACTGACCGGTGGGTTACAGAGTTTACTCAACCTTTTCCCTAATTCTGCCTCACCATGTGGAAGATCCTTATAGATTAAAAGCAAAAAAAAAACTGGTTAGGTGAAAGATTGTTAACTACTCAAGCACAAAGACGTGTCCATAATTCCAATAGAAATTCAAATGTTGTTGTTATTTAAAGTTTAAACATTCTCTGTCCATTTGAATGGAGGGCTTATTGTCCATCTTTACATTTTCAAGAACAAACCTTAGATGAATTTTATGCTTTCAACAATGCAAGTCTCACCATTTAAGAGAGCATCTAATTAATTAAAAGCAAAGATTAAGTCCTTTTGAATGGGGGTAACATATATGGCTATTTGCTATTTTTGGAATATATATATATATGTATATGCACACATACAGGATGTATATATATATATATATATATGCATATATGTCTGTGTTTTTTCTGATTATTCATGTTCTGTTTTTTAGAATGTTCTGTTTTTTAGAAGTTTGTTTTTGTTTTTTCATTAAATAAAACTAAAGTCTGATTAAATGTCTCTGTATGAATATAGATCTTTTACTTCATATCCAAACAGCTTTCAACTGGTTCAAAACAAAGTGTAACCATCCAAGTTTAAGTTGTTAAGTCACTAAAAATGCAGTACCACATATTTTAAGATGCGAGTAACTGTGGAATCTCAATAGGAGAGTTTAGGGTTTGTTCTTGTTAATTGAGATTTCTTCTTTTTAACATCTGATTAAAATAATTCACAGGAACATACAAAACTTTATCGATCGGTAACATTAATCTGTGTTAATGTTGTGCTGTAGTAATGTTTGTTGGAGGCTTTCCTTTTTTTATTTTATTTTTTTTATTATGGCAGTAGAACTGAAATCTGAGTATCGTTCTATTCTGAACAAAAAAATTGCTTTTCCAGGGGAGGCTTTGTTAGTGAGAACCCCCCTTTATGACCCACAACTGCTTTATTTATTCATTTTTATCACCAAACTTCCATATGTCCAATAATGCCGAAACTGATAGAGGGACAGGGGGGAGGGAAGAGTAGTGGAAAGAAAGGAGAGATATCCTTTAGAAAGAGAGAGAGGGGGGAGAGAAAAAAAGAAAAAATAAAAAAAGAAGGAGAAAGAAAGACATCAAGACCATATGACCAACTGTTAGTGTTTGCTCATGGTGGGAATTGTTGGGTTTCTGTAATTAACTTCAGAGTAGGTCTGACCTGCTCTGTTTGAGATAACTGTTGTTGTTGTGATGTGGCGCTATAGAAATAAAACTGAATTGAATTGAATTAATTTTAATTTTGCAATGTAATTTTCTGAACGTGTGTCTCTCCGTTTTAAACTGATTTTGTATTTTGTGATTTTGTGTTGTTTTTTCAGATGAGAATTAGCAACTATGCTAGAATCTGGCTCATTTACAATCTGTATGAGATTGTTCATTAATGTGCACGGTCCTGATTAAATAAATAAATAAGTTTTAAAAAATGTTTGGGCATAGAAATAAAGGTTATGTCTGTAAAAAGGACTCTGTTCCTTGTGGGCAATCCAAGTGGAGAACCTGTAAATTAAAAGCTCCTGCTAAAGGGCACAGGGAAGACTAAAGAATTGTATTGGAGGCTTTTCCAAACCTGTGTGGCCATATATATATATATATATATGCATATGTCTGTGTTTTTTCTGATTATTCATGTTCTGTTTTTTAGAAGTATAAAAAAATGTTTTCAAGAGTCATTCATACAAAAATACCTAAAGTCTCATCAAATGTCTCTGTGTGAATAGAGATATTCTACTTTGTCACTTCCACACCCTAACCCCAGGGTTAGGGTTGGGGTTAGGGTTAGGGTTAGGGTTGGGCTCCGGCCTCATGAATATTCAGAGGTCTGGGAGGACTTATAAACGAAAACTGGACCCAGAGACGGGGTTCTTTCCACAGGCTGGATCCCAGGAGCAGGGAGACGCGAGGATTAGACCCGACAACCTAACATTACAAAGTAAGTTAGCTTTTTCTCCCCTTTTCAGATTGCCCAGGTTTCCTATGTAATGGATTTTAGACTATTTTTATGCATAAGTGATTTATTTCTGATGCTACAGAACTCTACATATTTTTTCTGTTCAACAGAATTATAAAAACATCCTTAGATAAGCAATTTTAAAAGTTGTGTCTTAGAATATTATATATTGTGTGGTCGCAGTTTCCTTTAAATACCACCAAATTTTAGGTTGAATATAAATTTTTGCTTCAATTTATAGGGTTTATCTTAGATTTATATATTGTGTGGTAGCAGT